ACTATTTTTAGTTAACTATCTACCCTTTCTACCAATGAACACGGCATTTTTTATTGTATACCAAATGTCTAATGACAATTATATCAAAGACAAAGAGGTAATATTGCACTTGTCACTTTTCCCCATTTCAATTAGACAGAAATCTTAATCAGCCATTATCTAAATTATAAATTATTGTTTGTACATCAGTCTATCTACCAATGTAACATTCGATCAATGTCATTTTTGATAAAGTGAACATGGATAGTTTCGAGTCCTATCTTTTCTTCTCTATTTATCATTGTTGTTTTTGCCACATAGTTCTATATCTCTTTATTTCTTTTTTTTTATTACTGTCTTTACCACTCTTCATTCTCGTTTTTGACTGCCTATTTTACTAAATATTTCGCTACAGATGAAAGTTAAAAAAAATTTGAACGGATGACAAGGGTTTTATACATATATTAATCATTTCGTCAAAAAAATAAAACAAAGGAAGGCGGAATATTGAAAGGAATATATACAGAATTTATACACATACTATGTATACCTCTTCTAATATTCAGTCTGTTCATGAATATGTGCATGAATACGTTTAAACGACAGAAACATAACAAATAGACGACTGAGTAAGACAGTGAGTGAATTAGTGAATAAATGAATGAACGGCATTAATGAATGAATGAATGAATGAATGACTGAATGAATGAAAACTGAAGATGTGAGACTTTTCTTCATATTGTCAAACTCATGTCAATTCTTTTCTTTTATTTCTGAAGAAATATATCAAAACGTAATTTTCACATTAAAATAAATTGTGTATAGTTTTTGTTTGTTTGTTATTTCTTTCTCCGGTACACGTATTGTTGTTACATTCAAACGTCAGTTAGTCAAAACAAACAATTTGAATACAGTAACTACAATAACAACAAGTATAAAATAAGAGTTTATGTATAAATTTGAAAAGGAGTAACATTAATTGAATCTTTTATTTTGTAAATTTATCATACTAATACTTATCATGGTAATAATGAACAAGCTTTTTTCATTGTATCCATTAATATTCTTTATGAAAATGAGGTCGTAGTGAAATTATGAAGTTTTTATCTTAAAATATATAATAAATTCAAGTACCATGGAAAGGAAATATTTTGACTGTATATAAGTTAGAAAAATGCCACTATCGATTAATGATCAGTGAAATAGTGAATTTTTTCACTGTTTATTATTAATATTAGTTAATTTTTTTCGTAGCTCAATTAATACTCTTGAATGACGGTAACATTAAGCAGAAAAATGAGTAGGTCAAATATGGATAGGTAAATCTTGAAGGATGCTTTGCTGAAGTAATGAGCCATTCACGTAGACTCTGAGGTAAATGATTGATAAACATGTGATCAAGTTGAAAATGTCTTTTCTATCAGTATTGAAATAAATACAACACAAATAGTATTTTTAACGAAGCAATTAAGAAAATAAATGGCAGTAGATCATTTGGAAACATTACCATTAACCTTGTAGGGCCATTGAAATTCAACTGAGCCCTAGCCAAATCATCCTGCAGTTGGGTCATTGATTATCGAACAAGTCATCGACCCTCGTCAAGGTCAAGGACAACCACCGCGCATCAGTTAATCGTATGCCATGGACTGGTGCATGCGGTGGTGGTCTCGCTATCTTCTCTGTACTCATTCTTACTGATATATTTCCATAATAAGGTTCCTTGTGTTATACGGTCTTCAAAGCAGCCATAGTACTTTGATACGTCGAAGGGGTAATCCACGTTAGATGCTGACCACGAGGTGTGACTTCGACGTTAGTTGGTTCGTCACACTATTCACGTCTAACTCCAGTAGGCATCCAATCATTTTGACATAGATCGTCTACGCTGGTGACTTACAGCCTAATTATTGTATTATTACTAATACGAAGATGTAAGATAATTTTATTTGTAACAACAGATCCTAGACTTACAGTCAACAACAATATTAACCAACAAACTATTCAGAATTTTTTAAAGACAGTCAGTAAATATCGTATTACATGTTTAACCAAGTGTTGAGTAGACATGATAAATATTAAATGTGATGCTTTCTTTTAATAGTTTCATTTTTCTAGGCTAATCATTATTATTCAGTCAAACGTATTTTTGATTACTCGGCTACAGTTATGTATGAGTTAGAATTAATTTATAACTAGATTCATTGCATTATCACAAAAGTCTCGGTTTATTGTCAGTTTTTTTTCATTACTGAAACCAGGATACTTACCTATTGACTTGCGCTTGTTACCCCTCGTGGAGCAGCATACGTCGACCACCAACATTCCCCATCCAACTCTGTCCTAGACAATCCTTTCCAGTTGTTTTCAGTTGTAATTCATCCTTTTCATGTCTGCTTCCAATTATCGATGCAGTGTGTTGTTTGGCCTTCCTCTTTTCTGTTACCCTTCAAGATTACAAGCTAGCACTTGCTTCGCGATATAATTTGGTGATTTCTGCAGTGAATGTCTTGTCCACTTCCAATGACTTTTTAAATTTATTATTCAGTTGGAAGCTGGTTCGTCCTTTTGCACAATAGACTGTTGCTGATGGCATCCGATCAATGGATGATGGATGTAGTGGTTTTCCAAGTTTCAACTCAAAACAGTAGATCTGTCTCGAGGTTTGTGTTGAACATTCCGACTATGATATTGGTTGACAGTTGTTTCGAGTTCTATATGTTCTTCAACTGTAGGAATGTTTTACTAGCTTTACTAATCCTTGTCTTTACGTCCGCATCTGATCCTCTACGTTCATCGACGATGCTGCTGATCAGGTACGTGAAAGACTCCACCTCTTATAGAGTTTCATCATCAAGTGTGATTGGCTTGGTGTTCTCCGTGTTGTATTTGATGATGTTGCTTATCCCTTGTGTATGTTGAGGCCGACTGATGCAGATATTGCTGCTACATTGGTTGTCTTCACCTGCATTCGTTGGTCTGTATGGGATAGAAGGGATAGGTCATCTGCTAAGTCCACACCGTCTAGCTGCGTACAAGCTGTCCATTGAATTCCGTGGTTCCCGTCAGATGTGGAGGTTTTCATAATTCGGTCGACCACTGAAAGAAAAAGGAGGAGGAGAGTTAGCAGACTTGTCTGACTGAGATCCTCAATTGGAATGTGTCTGTCAGCTGTAATCCATGCACTACATTGTACTGTAGCCCGTTGTATGAATCCCATATGATGTTAACGATTTTCTCAAGTACACCGTAGTGTCGAACGAGGCTTCACGTGGTTCTTTTATCCACTATGTCAAACGCCTTCTTATAGTCAAGGGAGTTGACGAATTTCATTCAATCGATTGCACAACGATGATCTGTAATGTTGCGATTTGGTTTGTGCACGACCGATCCTTACGGACTCCAGCCTGTAGATTTGGAAGCTGAGTGTCTGCTGAATCTTACATGTGGTTCAACAATATTCTGTTGAAAACGTCTCCTTGTACTGATAGTGGTGTAGTTCTTACATTTGCCCATATCTCTTTTCTTCCTTATCATAACGAGATATCCTTCTTTCCGGTCTGTCAGTGACACTTGTTCTTCCTCCTACATCTTCCTGGATAGAACGTGGAGCATGTTTACAGTTACCTGTGTGTCTGAATTCAGTGCCTCAGCTGGTATACTGTCAGATCCTGCTGCTTTCCCACTCTTGACTTTCTGATGACCATTCTGATTTTTTCGATTGTTGGTAGGATGACATCTACTGGAAATTTGACATATGCTGCCTCGATGTCCGGCGGATTCAACGGAGCTGGCCGATTCTAGAATTCCTCAAAATGTTTTACCCACCTGTTCCCATGTCCTCGAACCTCAGTGTCTGTCTTGCTTTATTTGTTCTTGACTATTCACTCTAGTTTACTATATTTCCCTGCTATTTTATTCATTGTATCATATAGTTGTTTCATATTTCCTTCTATTGCAGCTTTATCTATTGCCATTGCTTGATCATTCATGTATTTCTACTTGTTGGCTCTAATTCTCCTCTTCACTTGCTTGTCTGCTGCTGTGTATTCAACTTGTGTCTTGACTTTCTCTGTCCTTGTTCGGCTGTTGTTAATTGCTATCTACTTGTTTTTCCTTTCTTGAATATTGTCCAGGGTTTCCACAGAGATCTATTCCTTATGATGCAGCTTCTCGGGGTTCAGAAATTCCTGATACAGCCAAGCTAGTGTTCCTTTGATTCCTTTCCAATTGTCCTCCATATTAGTTTCCTTATCTTACAGTAGATCTTGTAGGGCTCGGAACCTGTTGTTGAGAGTCATCATGAATTCGTTGGGTTTGTCAGTATGTGGAAGGACGTTTTTATTGAACCTTAGCTCCAGTTTCTTCTTGACAACCACAACCCATTCATTTTTCTCAGGACTTTTATTGACCTTCTAAATTTTTTAGTGATGCAATTATGATCTATCTGATTCTGTGTAGTGTGGTCCCGTGAGACACATGTAGATTGTGTATCCGTTTGTGAGAAAATACAGAACCGCCTCTAATTATTTTATTGAATGCACACTAATTTCCAAATTTTTCGTACCAGTTTTGCTCCATTCTCGCAGTGTATGTCTTCTCACGATACCTTCATACCATGTGTTGTCTATTCTGACCTTGGATTTTAAGTCCATCACCAGAATGTTGGCTTTCGCCATTCTTCTGTTTGAAGATCTTTCAACTCATAGGAGTTTAAATTGCTTGAATGATTTTCTCTGGTTGGCGCTTTTTTTTGAGTAAGGTTGTTTTCTACGAGATGGAGATGCTGACCTTCTTCTTTACCTGGTTTCGGGACTGGCAGTAGTCCTAGAAGAGCTACAGGCAGAGCTGAAACCAGGATTGATTGATCTTTGTTTTGTCTGAGTTGAGATATGTAAAATCTTGAACGATTGTAACTGTAAATAATAAAGTCGTTAAGTAAATGTTCATATGACCAGCATGTTCTTCTATAAGCTCCTAATGAACATTATATTTATGAGTCAAAACTGTTACCTTCTATATTACAATTCTTGTAGTGGATATTTTACTGAAAAACTGAAACTTGATACTACAAGAGATGATGATGATGATGATGATGATGATGATGATGATGATGATGATGATGATGATGATGATGATGATGATGATGATGATGATGATGATGATGATGATGATGATGATGATGATGATGATGATGATGATGATGATGATGATGATGATGATGATGATGATGATGATGATGATGATGATGATGATGATGATGATGATGATGATGATGATGATGATGATGATGATGATGATGATGATGATGATGATGATGATGATGATGATGATGATGATGATGATGATGATGATGATGATGATGATGATGATGATGATGATGATGATGATGATGATGATGATGATGATGATGATGATGATGATGATGATGATGATGATGATGATGATGATGATGATGATGATGATGATGATGATGATGATGATGATGATGATGATGATGATGATGATGATGATGATGATGATGATGATGATGATGATGATGATGATGATGATGATGATGATGATGATGATGATGATGATGATGATGATGATGATGATGATGATGATGATGATGATGATGATGATGATGATGATGATGATGATGATGATGATGATGATGATGATGATGATGATGATGATGATGATGATGATGATGATGATGATGATGATGATGATGATGATGATGATGATGATGATGATGATGATGATGATGATGATGATGATGATGATGATGATGATGATGATGATGATGATGATGATGATGATGATGATGATGATGATGACAATAATAGTGATACGTTTGTTACAGATGGTGACAGCGAAGTAAAATATATTAGATTTGACAAATCTATTATTATTGCTAGTATTATTATTATTATTAACATAAACAAATATATTATTCATAAACACTTGAAATGTAAGTATATATTTGAGATTGTACATGGTGGAAAAAGAGTTCACTGAGAACACAACTTTTCTTTGAGCCAATTTCTACTAGTTTTGATACATCCCATAATGTGCTTTAAAACTTGGTAGTTAATAATAAAGCACTACTTACTGACGTGTTGAATTCATCTCTAAATTTTGCAAGAAATTAACCTCTTTGATATCAATTTTATTTATTTATGTAGGGGAGTTCATTCCACGTGATAATTAGAGAGATAATGACAATAAAAAAAGACATAAATACTTTTAACTAACAGAACTTGTGTTAACATTTGATAGCGTATTTGTTTTATGGATACTTTAATTTACGTGAACTAAAATACATGAAATAACAGGCATAGTTCTTTGGATGTTTTATAATTGATGAATGCTTAGCATTCATCTTGTTTTGGGTAGTGAACTTTATATATCGAACAGTTTGGTTGGTGGTGAAGTTTTACTGTACATAAATCCACTCCACTTCAGTTTAAACAACAGGATAACACTACAAACCCTTAAAAAACTCTACTATCCATTTTTAGATACACAGAACTGTAGTTGATAAATGAAGTACGTTCACACTTTTTAGCTTAACAATTTGTTAATGCCTGGAGGGAGATTTTAAGAAATTGTTCGATTTATAGCTTACATTACGCGCTGGCCTTAATTAGTCACTATTGAGAACCAGTGAACAACGGATTGTTATTTCACTCGAGTTTGGGAATTATCAGAAGTATGTATCTAGGACTCATCGAACGGATTTCAGCTACAAAGTAGACAACAGCATCTTCATTTATAGGTCACTAACATTAAATAAAAAGATCTACAATATCAGCTCAAGATAGTGCACAAAAATTATCTGGAGTTATTGATTATATCTGTCTCACTACCGAAATGGTTGGAACCCTCTGATCACGGTTTCCAAAGTTAGTCACTAGCTCATGTTTGTTATCAGAATATAGATTTGAAATAATAATAAATCAAATACAAAATATAAGGCATCATCAACTGTAATGTAATACTGAAGTCAATATATGATACATACTGTTAATAGAATTTTTAAAAAATCAAACGTTATATTCTCCTAAAATGCGTTACTTCAAAATATAAGCAATAATCTTTGTAAGCAATGATGGATAGTGGCTAGCAGTGGAGTCCAAGACGCGCACTTCGTCCTACTTGGGACTCGTCAGCTGGATGTACCTGCATCTGATAGTTGATGTTCACCCCGGGACTCGAACCCAGTACCATTCGCTTCAAACGCCATCGCGTTATCCATTCAGCTACTGAGTCCTGATAGCCACTTGCTAGTGCAATAGGGTAAATTTAAATTCACTTGGCATTGTTTGGCTTGTATCTTCCCATTGAGATTTAAGACTGTGAATTAAGGCAATATCGAGGCATACGCACAGTATACACATATGCCAATAACAGACTGATCAATTGCAGTCTTAAATCTCAATGGGAAGATACAAGCCAAACAATACCAAGTGAATATAAGCAATAATGTTTGATAATAATAAATCAAAATTACACACAATAACTGTACTTCAGCCTGTACCTTCATTTTATTTATAATAATGAATTCATAACTACTTATAACAGTATATAATTTCAAGTGCTAACAATTCAATAGTATTATTATTAATAATGATAATGCTAGGAGTTGATAAACAAATATAACCATCGTGGTGAACTTAAAAAAGAAAAGAAAAACATATATATATATATATATATATATATATATATATATATATATATATATATATATATATATATATATATATATATATATATATATATATATATATATGTTTTTCTTTTCTGACAGAACCATTAAATATGTATAAAAGTTTTTTTTCTTTTTTTCTTTTCTCTTTTTTGTTTAAATACTGAATTTTTCTTACTTTGATCATAAATATACCTACTGACAATGACCATTAGTAATCATGACATTTTAATCAAACTATCAATTACCTATCATAAAGTTTATTTATCTATTAAATATCTGTAAATAACTAAAATAATAATTCAATTTATAATTATTTATATTGAAAATATTTAATGTAATTGACAGTATTATAATAGAGAAATTACATCATTATTTATGTTATTTTAATGAAGATATTTTGTAATCTAATAGAGTTATGACAAATATTATTCATTGTAGTTGTTTCTAAATTGAATTCAATTCATCACATACTTTGGTTAGAGTTTATTTGACCAACAACAACAACAGCAACGAGAATAACAACAAACACAAATGAACTGTAATAGGTATCATTGATTGTTCGATATTTTGCAGAGATCCATATCATTTGTACACTTATTTTAAATGTGTTCTTGTTTGTTTTTTTTTTAGAGAAAAATAGATGGTACAGTTTTAAAAGATTAACCGCTTGATAATAAAGGTATTTTTTATGAAAATATATTTTTTTTCTATAGAACAATGAGAACATGAAATTGATCTGAAAATATGTGATGTATTGACGTTAAACATTTCGAACAACTAATCATACCTATATTTGTCAGGGCATTTTTATATGAAAATTAATAAAGGTAACAAAGGGGTGAGAAACAAATTTACATCGTATATAAAGAATAAGAAATCGTCGTGTTATTTTAGGCCATAGAATGACTTAAGGATTACCAAGGTAAATTCAAGCTTACGACAAATTATTAAGTACACATAAGGGGGGGGGTAAATTTACGAATAACCAAAGTTTCAATAAACCTGAGAACTTGTTCTTGACAATTTCTATACAACGTTTTAAAAGCTGTATTAATGTCAGTTTTATACCCGGTTTCAATGAAATGTTTCGCTATAATTTTTATAGAAACAAAGTTAATATTTTAAATGATTATTTGTTTAAAATACATAGATTACTGAATGCCACCTCATTAGCCATAAGTTAGTTTGATTACAATGACACCTTGATGTCTTTGAGATTTCGGGTTGAGTTGTTGTCTCAATACTCTTCTTAACTGAACTGTTGTAAAGAATTCACATTAAATAAAATTCATATATCTGTCAAATTATCATTTTTAATGGAAATACTTTGATGTGTAATTCACTTTATTAGCCTTTTGTAATGGTGTAATCATTGCATATTCTAAAGTTATATAATTATCAAAAGTAAGTAAGTAAGAGATATATACACTGAACAGTTACTAGTTTTTAAATCTAAATGGAATTGAGAAGTTTTGAAAAAATGCTCACTTTCTTACTACATTCAAGTTATTATCGAATTTGTTATATTAGTTGTATATGCTAGATCTCAAATGAGTAATCTATTATTCTTGTTTGACTTTATTTAGTAGTACTTAGATGCATATATTTGGATTAGAGTCTCAGATTTTGCTACTATCATAGTAATTCAACACTTACCGCTTCAAAGGACAGTAAGTCACACAAAACTCACTCTCTGATTTTCCTTACAAAATATAATAATTATGTTATTGAACAAAATTACTAACATCCATGTTATAAATCTGAATACCTACAAAGCAGATAATTCCAGTCCTATAAAGTGAAATTTTTATGAAAGCGTTCAGTTAATAAACGTAAATGACTGCAAGTAAGAGGATCTTAAAGCCAGTAAATTTAGAACTACCTTAAATTTTTTCTAGTAAATCCATATTTGCCTACTTAGCATAGAAATAACTGAAAGTAGTATATTTTGGAAAAAGTTGTATAGGAATCTAGTCTCTTTTATGAAATGATAGTATATTGATAGTTAGAAACACCTGTAATTCATAAAAGGAGTCTCGAAAAAAATTATTTCAATTACCCGAGTACTGCACATCTCAAGAAAAAGCTGAAAAGAAAGTCTGCAGATGAAATGAATCTAATAGTTTATTCCTATTTTTTACATCAGTATTATTCTCCTGTAAGATTAATGTAGATTATAAGTATAGTGATATGTGGAGTTTGTAGTATTTTTACAGTTGAAATCACGAATCAATCTCAGTTAGACCACCATTGGAAACCAGAAAACACTGGATGGCCATTTCGCCCTAGTATGCGACTCCTCAGTAGTGCACATTCATGATTATTTTAACCGTGAAAATACTATACTCTCCACAAAGCCCTATGCTGATAACAACCATGTACTTAATGATGACTAGCTTCAAGATATAACTCTCGGAGTTCTAGTGGAAAGCTGTGACCAGTGGAGTGCAATCCGTGTCGGGTGTATGACAGATATCCACCTCAGGAAATGGACGAAGGATTTCACATGATGGTGAATTGATTGAGGTTAGATATCAACATCGTTAGACGCCGGCTCAGTGGTCTAGGGGTTTAGCGTTGGCGTATCGGACTTTACATCCTGGGTTTATTCCTGCGTATGGGAATGTGGGTGCGCACTTCTAATATAGATTAGCTGGGTCTTATTAAAATTGAGAATAAGGTTTCTACGGGTCCATACGTCAGCTAATTCAGCTTTTTTATATTTAGAATTATTTAAAAGTGTTTAAGAGTTTTTTAAAGAGAACTTGAAAAGATTAACAAGTGAGCGGCATAGTATGTACTCAAACATTTGTGTGACTTGTTTAAAAGTATTTACGCCACTAGCAGCCATTACCATGCTCAAAATGAATTAACTTGTATTAATCAGTGTTTTGATGGTAAGTTAATTATACTGGCCTTAAAGTTCAGGTGAAGTTGAATATCGTACTGGCAACTTTGATTATTGTCATCAATTAGCATCTAGGAATAACCCGGATGGCAAACTATGAAAAAAAATTATATTTTGATTAACAAACTTTTATGAAATATCTTATTATTATTGATCCACTGCTTTTATTGTTCTAGATGGATTAACAACAAAAATGAAGTTTGGCTTCCGTACAATGAAACTTTTGTGATATTCACCCTAAAATGTCATGAGTAGTTTGTGATGAACTGGTTGATGAATTATTCTATCAAAACCCACATCAGTAATATATTATCTAGACA